TTGGAGAGATTTTGTTTTATCATTTGTTTTGGCGCTGAGCTGTGGTTCATTTAAGGTCTGTGTTCCAGCACTGCAGATCACTCCTGCATTCACTGCAAAAATCCACGCCACCTAGACATCGATGGATGAGTTAAAGGCAAAAGTTCTCTTAACCCTCTGGGGACCAGAGTGTTTTTGGGGCCCTTGGGATGTTTTGACATGCACTGACATTTGTGCTTTTTTCAGTTATTTATAAACATGTTAATGGCAAAGGTGTAAATTCACTCTATATAGCACAAACTTGGCTACCATGAGATCTGAGCAACATGTATGTACATGTTTGTATTTTTAATAGAATAATGTTTATGCGTGGTTATTGAAAAAAATAAAAATGAAAGTTGCTGAAATAAGACCACAAAACACATATTGATTATTTCTTCACAAGACTTTTGAAAATTGTATCACATAGCCTAGAATATTTGCTCCAAAACTATGTGAGAATCATCCTGACTACTCATTCAGATAAGTCAATAAAGTCTTTTACATTTTTAATGACGTGTTTTGTTTGAGAAAGCTTTATGCAGGAGGCTTGATCTCTCATTAATATGTATGGCATTCCACACCTGAGAAAGACAAAGACCCTCCCATAATGGCCCTATTAGGTGCTATCAGGCCATATCATTACAGGAGCCTTGCACAAAGAATGAGGAGATTTAAAAAAGAATGGCTTTTAGATTGTTTGGATATTATAAGGAAAATACAGGGTGCATACGTCTGGACACTTCTATCACACACCCTTCACCATATAGACATGGTTTTATTTCAGTTCAAAGTTAGAGTTGGAAACATCTTGAAAAGAAAATTGTCTTTCTCCATAAATGTCTTAGTTTGATCATACATATTTCAAAGTTGAGGATTCATTATTTTGATATAGCTTGAACAAACACTATAACATCTTAGTTGATTAGTTTATTGACAAAACATACTATATATTTAACATATGAGCAGAAACTCCTAAAAAAGCTTATTTGATGTCTATTTTAGAGTAAAAACTTTATCCAAAACGAGTCAACGAAATGTTGTCTGTTATTTAGTCTGTAACAGTGCGTATCTGTGCGTTCATTCATTCATTCACACACACACACACAAACTGTGTGACACAAACATGATTCACATTTAACAGTATGCTATTTTTCCGTTTACAGACACTACGTTATTCTATATCGCGATTAGAACAAAGCACTTGCAAAAAACACTTACTTCTCAGCTGAATCTGTTCATCCTCGAAGTGAAAATAACCCAGTGGTAAATGTCCCAGGATTGTTCCACATATAGCCGCGCAAGACGACAGTAGATTAATCTGACTAAAAAATAATGTGTGTTTTCAGAGTTTATGGGCGTTAACGCGTCTCAATGTGTTGCTTCACATATTTGCGTTTGAATAGCGCGTGCTCTCCGTAGGCGTGTCACATTACCACAGATAATCAGCTGAGAGAACGATAATGAGATGGGCTGACACGTCTCTCTTTTTATATAGATGACATAAACGGAGAATAATAATTTTAGTTTTGAATCGGATCATTTAAAAGTACAAACTCAAATGATTTAAAAGATATATTGCTTATGGCTGGGTGAATAGTATTAGCTGAGTTGTGTTGAAGATTAGAGACGTGCTCCAGAAAAAAAGTTCACGGTGACCGAGAGGCAGAACGCACACCCTGTTTATTTTCTTTATTTTACAAAAGCACAATATTTTATTTCGATTGTATGTGGGCACATAAAAAAGTAGACATTTAACAGATTATTTTCTCATATTTCTTAACTCTATATGAACAGAAATGATGGTAGTACTTTAACTCTATTTTTCTGCTATGTGAAAAAAAACGAGCAAAACGCGCCGGCGCGTTTCTGGTCCCCAGAGGGTTAAACTCCCATAAGTGGGTTATGGTGCAAGCTGGAGGTTAATTTAAAACAAGCCTCAAATGATGGTTTGCGGTAAATGATCATATTTTAAAAATCGAATTTAGCTATAAAGTAGCTGTCTGGTTTTGATGGATGGCGGATAGAATATGCAAGCAATGGGGCGGCTGCTGCCGTAGAGCTCAGACTCTCCCTTTGACTTTCTCTTACAAACTAGAGAAATATCAGAGGTGCACATTTGAAATAGTTCTCAACTTTATTAACACTATTACAACCCCTCCTTGATGTCAAAAAGAAGGATTTTCCCAGATATGGATCTTCAGATTAGTCTTTTTTAGGGCTGCAACAACTAATCGATAAAATCGATAATAATCGATTATGAAAATCGTTGTCAACGAATGTCATTATCGATTAGTTGGTCTGTTTACGTCACGGGGAGCGTTTACTGGTGATTGGTTGAAACAGGCCAATCAGGATGCTCTCTGTCTTACACGCGCTTCATGAGGCACACACGCAAGGTCTCTCTCCCTCCGTTGCTCTGCCGCGCGCTCGCGCTACACGGTTTGGAGCACAGTCTCTTCTGTCTCGCATGCGCGCTCTTGCTTGCGTGCTCAAATCCCGGGAGTTTGAACTAATTTGCGAGCCGCTATCAATATGCGGGTGACTTCCAGAACTTCCGGGAGACTTGGGATGTCTGTATTTTGCGTCTCGAGCATCAGGTTGCGCAATCAGTTCGCTCGCAACATAAGTGATGGATTAAAATAGTGCTACCGCAGAAATATTAAATTAAAACGGTCTTTACAAAGCGAAGCACTAAATATAAAGGCAGTTAATAACAGCAGCAGTAAATTATTGTTTTTAGTCACTGTACTCAGTGGTTTTCAGCGAATGTTTGTGCACTAATGCATCATTTTTCCTGTCTTTTTAATCAAGCCTGTTAGCTTGCTGCGTACCTCCACTCCGTTCTCTTTATATAGCATTTGTCTACTATTAAGTTTTAATTGTTTTTCAAACGCGATCTACTGCGGCTCTATGTTCACACGCTTGTTTTCAGTCTTTCTATATTTATTTTTTTACAAATTATCCTTATAATTCAATTAATTTTAAATAAAAATTTAATGAATTATATATTTGAGATGTTTTTAGTTTATATCTTCACATCTGAACATGTCTGTAAATTTGTTTTAACAAAAATTGTGTTAAAACAATATGTTGGATATAAATGTTTTTTTTTTTTACATTAATCATGGTTGTCAACTTGCCATCAGCAATTATCATTAAAAACAATGCAAATATTGATATTTGTAAAACTCAATGTATGGCTTTTGCACTTTTTAAAGTACACTTTTACACATAAATATGCTAATTTAGGGTTTTAGGTAACACTTTATTTTACGGTGTCCTTGTTACATATGTTACATGTACTTACTGTAGTAATAACAGTAAATTATGCATAATTACATGCAACTAACCCTCAACCTAATCCTACCCTATTCCTATAGTAAGTACATGTAGTTACTTAATATTACTCTGTACTTAAATATATAATTACACTGTAACAAGGACACCTTAAAATAAAGTGTAACCGGGTTTTATTTAGTCATAATAAACAAATCCAATTGAATTTATCCGATTAATCGAAAAAATAATCGTCCGATTAATCGATTATCAAAATAATCGTTAGTTGCAGCCCTTGCCTGAAGCAATATGGTACAAGCACCACACAGGTCCTGAGAATGAATTTCAGTCAAGAGCTGCACCACCTTTTTACCAGATGTTAAATGCACAGAAACACTGCTGCACTGTATTTAAATAGAAATTATTTACATTTTCAGCGTAAATACGCCTCGTTTGTGTTCAGATCAGACTTACAGATTCCACCTAATTCGCAAAACACAGCACTATTTGCTCGGCACATTTTATTCTGAATGCAGATTGCATTCAGTACTAATTTTATGGGCACATTTGCTCAGTTACATGTTTGCATAATTCCCTTACTTGTACCAGGTATGTGTTAGCGTGCAATTCCATTTAATAGTACTGAAGATTTTATAGTTTTCCATTTCCTGAATTACCATGGAGGATATGAGTTGCAGCAATGGGCGTTATTTTGTTGGACTTTCGGGTGGATTGTCTGTCAGGGTAAATTTTTATGAAAACATTTAGCAAAGAATAAATTCACCAGCTGTCTTATTATGGAGCATTCAGGGCCATTCTTTAGCTCACTTACATCGTCCTGAACCGTATTTAGCCTGCATTGTAATACAATCTGTTTCTCCTCAACTAAAGTATAATGGGAAATCTAATCATGGCCTCATGTCAAAACAATAGGAGTCTGAAAAAAATTTGATTATACCAACCCCCGCATATATTGCACATCACCTCCACAACTCCATGGAGCTTTGCACTGACAGAGAAACCTGCTAATCTAAATGCAAAAGCTTGCACAGAGGTGCTGACCGTACGGCCATGTGGGGTGGGGGGAGGGGGGTTTGTGATACAACTGTCATTATTCAGGCTATTACAATGCTAAACCTTCCTCTGCTGTGACCCCATGGCCTTTGGCCATTTAGAGCAGTTATTTCTCAAGTGATTTTGCTTCAAGTCCCACATTGGACATCAAGTGGTAACTCAACACAATACAAACATATATTATATTATATAAGGGTGTAACGATATCCTCATGTCCCGATTATATTATTAAATTGTATTGGCTAGATTTGCTACTGACATATTAATTTGTGCTAAATAACTATAAAGATTGATTGGACAACACAGCCTTTCATTTCCGCAACAAAAAATATATATTTATTATATTATATTATACGATCTACTGGCAGATGCATTTGGGTATATGGGCTGTCAAGTTAACATTAATTTAATGTGTTATAATTATTAAAAAAAAATAACAGTGAAAATTAAGGAAATTAATCATTGACTGACAGGCCTAAACTATTTGCATTTCACATTGTTTTCCCTGCTGTGACCCTTTCAGAAGGTTGAGAACCACTGGTGTAGTTTTATTTTGTGGTGTAATTTGTGTATATGTGCACATGTGTACTCCTGAACAGAACTGAATTGAACTGTCTCTCTCATTACAGGAAACAGGATGGAGGAGAGCCTTGCATCTCTAACACACTAGATCCTTCACTGTTCCAGCCATCACTGCCCCACACTGGCCCTGCGTTCCTCAAGGTATCACAAAGCTCCTGCCTGCCTGCATGCTGAGAGTCCTTCCATCCTGCCAATGCTTGACTTCTGCTTGCTGAGTCTGTCTCACCGCCTCTGACCCATCTGCTCCATTACTGTGAGCCTGTGTACAACTAATACTGATTTGCATGAGGCCAGAGGGATGATTACGGACTTTTCTGTTTGTATTAATACACATGATTGGCATGCCATGCAGTTAAATGAGAGTGATGTAATTAAATGTCAGATGCTATTAATTAACAAATGTCAGGCCAGTTTCTCAGTTACACCCCTTATTTCATGAGACAAACTAATGCCTGTCAAAATAGTATTGATTATGAAAGGTCACTTATTATTCAGTGACTTATAGCTCCAAGGATTCAGCTTTGTGAACTAAAACTGCTCACGTGACCCTTTAAGTAACAGTTCAAACAAAATGAAAATTCTATTATCATTTACTCAGCCTCATGTTGTTCCAAACCTGAATGGTATTAAACATTAAAGGAGAAATTTTAAAAAATGTACTCTTTTCCAAGTGGTTACAATGATCAGGGATTTAACCCATTCAATAGCTTTGTGTGCGAAACTGACTGATTGAAGTCGAAGTGACCGGATCGAATAAGTGAGTGTGAAATCTGTGAATCATTCAGGCTGGTTTTGTGAACAAGATCAGTTGATTCATTGTAAAGATCTGAGTCAAAAGATTGATTCTTTAAATCACTACTTCTCTCAATAACTTTCATGAAGCAAATAGACCTATGTTTCCTATGAAAAATGACTTCGGTTTTGTTTCTCTCACAACGCTTTCTTATGACTCCAGAACACATGGAAGCAAGAATCATTATGAATTTGGGATGCTTTAATTATGATTTTTCTGCCATTTTGGAGGTTGATAGCCACAGTTCTCATTCACTTTCATCATACTGAAAATGGGCAGGATATTTGTTAAAAAAAAATTCACCTTTGTTCCATGAAAGAAACAAATTCATTCAGGTTTGGATTTCATGAGGGCGAGTAAATGATGATGTAATTTTTAGTTTTGAGTAAACTAACCATTACATTTTTTATATCCAAATGCCTTTTCTGCGGTGCATCACTACAATCAGTTCACCAAACGTTTTTTTTTTTCATACACAGTTAGAGCATGTAATCAGCCTCTAAAATACACCTTCAAGTGTTGAAGCTTCAGTGCTTGTGCTAATGACTTACGCAGCCAAACTTGTGACTCATGCATGAATTTCAACTGCATGGATGAACTTAAGCTGATGGAAAGCTAAAATCTATTTTTTAATAAGAAAATAGTTTTTTATTTTCATACTGAGCTACTGCACAAATCAAATGTATTGCTTTTTTATATCTGCTGATCCACAAATCGCCTATCACTCGAAACAGGGTCCTGAGAGAAATAATACATGGGCCCTTTAAACCCTTCTTTAAGTCAAATGTTATTAGTTTCATTGTTGAGCCATGTTTAGTTTGGAATTTTTTGTCGATGTTGGCGATTGTGTCTGACAAAGTTAGATATGAGGGTCAGGTTGTCAAAGCGCAGGGCTAAAGAATAAGATCCTTTGTGTATTGTGTGCAGTGTGTGTAAGTAGTTTGAGTGATCTCGGTGTGTGTGTGTAGGAGATTTTCGGGCTTTTAAACTCGGTGAGCTCAGCTTGCGATTAAGAGGATAAAGTTTAGGTGATGTCAGAGTCCTTAACTGCATCCACAATTCTGCAGCATAGCTTATAACACAACAGAGGGTAATCTCTCGTGAATGAAAAGAAAAAGAAAAGAGTCTTTGGAGATCATGTCCAGTCATTTGTTAGTCAATTAAATTAAAACAAAAATCATATGAATTTTTGAGTCTACCATATGGTAAATGGAAAAGAATGTGGAAAAGAAGCATCATTCCATATTTTCGAGGCAATTTTACTGCTCGTAAATATGTTTTACAAGCAGTTAAACTCGTATAAATTATATGTTTATATTTTCTTGGTTGTGTTTATATTAAAATTTTTGGCCAAAAATTAACATTCTATCATTACTCACCTCCATCATTCCAAAACTATATGACTTCAGTAAAAATAAAAGTGTTTTGTTGTGGGGGGTTTTCAGTCAATGCATGGTACACTGTAAAAAAAGTATTGTTGCTTTAACTTAAAAACGTAAGCTACCTGGTTGCTTTAAAGTGCCACTATTATGCTATTTTAAAGTTTCCTAATGTTGTTTTGGAGTCTCCTACAACAGGTTTACATGCATCAAAGGTCAAAACAAGTTTCATTTTCTCATAAATCTTTCCTCAAAGTAGTGAGAACGACAGACAATCTGCATTAATAGACACAGTTTTAGGTAATAGTGGCCCACAGCTGATTAGCAGAAGTATTTCAGTAGTAATAATGTGAGTTAGCCAGTTAGCAGGAGACCTACACAATATACAACTCAAAACTAAGTATTTTGAACACCATCTTTCAAGAGCAAGCGGTTTGCAAATCCTGCATTGAATTCCGAGATTTGAGAAGCAGTCATCAGTAAAATAAAGGGAACACTGCAAAAGTTTAGGATTATACTGCTGTTAATTTTAACCACTGATTCTTCACATGCTCGTCCTTGGGCAGTGAAAAAAAAACTGCCTTTACCTTCACATTATAGAGCACAGCTTCTTCTGGACATGATGCTGTCCAGTATCCACAGGAATCAGCTGCAGTGTTTGAGGTTCAAGTTTTCCCTGGTGTCTGCGTGCACAATAAGTGGGCGGGCAATATGCTAATGTTTCGTCTTGACGTCACAACGAAACGGCTTAGGATTCGTTTGAACAACCATTCATTTAATTGACTCAGAGTCGACTCTTACTTTTGAAAGAATAACTTTATATACGGTGCACTTTCAGATTTAAAACTTTGCAGGATGTTTTCATTTACTTAGAGCTATGTTACACACTACATAAAAGGTCATTTTCAAAAATCCATAATAGTAGGGGCACTTTAAAATTTTGAGTTCATTGAAATTAAAATTTGTAGTTAATACAGTGCAGTTCCCTTTCAAGGGAACTTCGAGCTGCGTTTGAGACGCGGTGGGAACGCTCTGCGTGATTGCGTCATGAAGCACGTGTAAAATCAGTCCAATGGAAGCCCGATACGTCATGGGTGACGTCATAGACCAGGAAACTATAAAGCACCCTTGAAAACAGACCGCGACAGCTTCTGTTGTCTTCAGCAAGCGCTCTCTGTGATTCTGTCCTTGTCTATTTATTGTTGTTTGTCAAGCCCAATATATATATCACTATCTATCATTATGGCGAGCAAAGCAATATTATAGACGTTGTGTTGTTCCCTGCCCTCGTTACATCACGGGTGGGGACATACATCAGCTTTTTGTTGCTGTTTGGGAGTGGAGCATGCAACAGTCATTTCTCGAGGGATCTGACTGTGCATTGCGAGAAGCTGTCCGTGAGGACGCTCCGCTCCCGCCTGGCGTTCTTCGAGGAGGACGGTTCGGTTCGCGTTCCCCGAGCGGGTCTCTCTGTTGTCGAGGCTCGGAGACGGCTCGTATTTCGGGGTTCGAAAACGGATCTGACAGCGGGGGTTGGGACGGGCTCCGCCCTTTCTCAGCTTTCACATGCCAGATCTAGTGTGCTGCGATTTCCAGTTCCGAGGAATTGGTATCGTTAGTGTTTTGTTTAAAAAGAAAGAAAACAAATACAAATCTTTATAAAAAGGCAGATGTTTGAGTTTTCAATGAATAAATTTTCCAGCTCTTAACTCTGTTGAATAAAGAGGAGCTTTTTTAAAGAAAAAAAGGAGGTTTTATCTAGTGCTGTTGCCAGTTAAATATTTACTGGCCAGCTGAACATTATGAGATTGAAAATAAAGAAGAGTTTGTTAGATGAACTGTATCTTAAAACAGGAAAACTCTGTATCTCAGCCTCCTCGTCGGGGACTGTGGTTTTTCCCTATCTCCACACTGAGGTGTCGAGATCGTGGAATAAACCGGTTTGTATTTTATGTGTTTAATCCCCAGATGTCTGACTATAGTAATGTTTGGGTATTAAGTATCATAGTATGACATTGCCTCGGGTTAAAGAGACGCTTGCGAGCTTTCTCTCTCCCGAGTCGGCGTTATCGTTATTAACCCCGACGTTACCCACCAGCCATCTTAATAATGAATACATTTTTATTAGGCAGCGCTGGTGGGTAGAGTATATAAGGACATGGATGAATGTGAGGGGCGACTCTCTGAGGAGGGTCGCAGCGCTGCCAGTTCGGTTGTTTCCTGCTGGTGGCCGCAGAGTGATATATATGTATATATATATAAGTTTTTCTGATATAAAGATAAAGGAAAATAAAGATATAATTATGTCTGTTCTTCTGGACGCTCCGCTTTCAAGAAAACTAAGAAATAAACCATTCAGCGGCGTTCCAGAGGTTTCTTCCTCACCAATCTAATGTTCCTGAGACGGCCTATTATGCTCCTCTCAGCACAAAGTGCAAAACAGAGCGTCGCCATTCGGGCTCCTCCGCAATTGAGGGGTACCTGGGTGGCGGTCGCAGTCTAGCCAGTTAGAGACATGCAAGATCTGAGGACTGTTTTATCTCTAAAATAGCTTTGACAAAGAAGAAGCCCTGACGCCGAGGCGATCAGGCTTCTAAGGGTGGTCCCCTCTGGGGTAGGGACGGTTTTGAGAAATCGTTTCTCCTCAGCGCCCTTTGGGGTGCGACTCTCTGAGGAGGGTCGCAGTACTGCCAGTTCGGTTTCCCTGCCGGTTCGCCGTTTCAGGGCACCAAGGTGTCAGTGTCCCCAAACGAGCCTTCAAATAAGAAAAAAGAAGAGCAGTCAGTTCGGTTTCCCTGCCGGTTCGCCGTTTCAGGGCGCCGAAGTGCCTGCTTTTTTCAACGATCCTCCGAGGAGGGTCGTAGGAACTAAGCTAGTTAGAGGTAGGCAAGATCTGAGGACTGTCATCATCTCTAATAAAGCTTAGACAAGAAGTCCTGTCGCAAGAAAATGAGGCTATCAGGCTTCTG